CTTTTTTTAGGAGTATTTTAAAACCAAGACATTATAATATAACTAAAATAAAAATGGAGTTACGTGTCGTTGATTACAGATAAGTTTTGAAATAATTATAATGATTGTTGATTCATGATGCAACAGCGTGCTTTAGGTACGTCCGATCTTAATAGGTAATCAATAACTCAAATGAAAGCTGGTATTTTACTGAAGGTTATTAGACCAAAACATATCGAATAATGCAATTAGAACTGGTAAAATAAATTTTAAATTATAGTGAGAATAAAAAAAATATAATTTTTGTTTTTTAATCGAGTAATACAGTAGATAAATAAATGACGATGCTTGATGGCAAATCTAAGCGTGCATACCTTTAATTTAAGACCATAATTATGGAAGTCGGTTAGGTAGCCAAACGAACTCGGAAAAGAAAAAGCAAAATTTAACTCCCAAAAGAAATGCACGGGGAGGAAGTTGCATTTGTGCATAACTTAAAATATACGTCAGACAAATGAATGCCGGTGCTTGATCAGGGCTAGGTAGCTCTGGTGCTTGATAGCAAAACTGTGCGTGCATACCTTTATTTATGTCCAAATTTATGAACATCGGTCGGGTATATGAGCTAAACTCACTCGAAAAGAAAAACCAATATTTTTTAAATATATAGATAAGGAATACAGTTTTCCTACAGTTACCTAACAATGTACATGTTCTCTCACTGATTTGAGAAAGCAAAGTGGCCAATTCGCTCATCAGTGAGACAATGTTAACATTGTCTCACTCAAATTACTTTGTCTCACTCCAGATTTGCAACGTGAAGGCACGAATTAAGTGAGCACGTAACATGCAGGCAACGTCGTATGCGCGCGAAATACGTTGGCAGCACTGGCTGTAAATCAGCTGGTAAGCTGTTGTACTGTTGTATTTGTCACTTCACGTTAAATGTTATATTAAAAGTTCACTTCTGTGTAAAAATAGGTTATGTTTCTTCGCCAATTTATTTGTTTTATGGTAACTGCAGGAAAAGTATAATGTGCAACTCGAGTTCAAAGTACAATTGTCTCACTCAAGAAACCATTCCTCACTCGCCTACGGCTCGTGAGTAAAGATTTCTCTCGAGTGAGTCAATTGCTCACTTTTCTCACTAGTTGCACAAATAACTAATTCCTAAAGCTATATCTGTTTTGTCAACATAAATAAAGCATTTGAGTTAAACTCATTGTTTGAATAATATCTACCTTTAACATTTTGCTATAAAATATACTTTTGAAGGTATATTTTTAAAATGGTTCTCTCATCCTCTCTCTCTATATATTTTTTAATTACCATTCAAAATCAAAACCAATATATGATACATACTATACTAGACTTCTCCGAAACCTACAACACCTACAAATATTAAACTACTGAGTCCGCAGCTAACTGCGGAAATGTAAGTACAGTAGCCTATCCACCGAGTCCACAGTCCCAGTAAATGACAGGGTTGGTAACTCAGGGGCGTCGTCAGCTATCACAACAAGGGCTGCACCATTGTCTGCCTATAAGCAGCGTACTGCGGAGATGGTAGTATCCAGCGAGACCACAGTCCCAGTAAATGACAGGGTCGGTAACTCAGGGGCGTCGTCAGCTATCACAACAAGGACCGCACCATTGTCTACCTATAAGCAGCGTACTGCGGAGATGGTAGTATCCAGCGAGACCACAGTCCCAGTAAATGACAGGGTCGGTAACTCAGGGGCGTCGTCAGCTATCACAACAAGGACCGTACTATTGTCTGCCTATAAGCAGCGTACTGCGGAGATGGTAGTATCCAGCGAGACCACAGTCCCAGTAAATGACTGGGTCGGTAACTCAGGGGCGTCGTCAGCTATCACAACAAGGACCGTACTATTGTCTGCCTATAAGCAGCGTACTGCGGAGATGGTAGTATCCAGCGAGACCACAGTCCCAGTAAATGACAGGGTCGGTAACTCAGGGGCGTCGTCAGCTATCACAACAAGGACCGTACTATTGTCTGCCTATAAGCAGCGTACTGCGGAGATGGTAGTATCCAGCGAGACCACAGTCCCAGTAAATGACAGGGTCGGTAACTCAGGGGCGTCGTCAGCTATCACAACAAGGGCTGCACCATTGTCTACCTATAAGCAGCGTACTGCGGGGATGGTAGTATCCAGCGAGACCACAGTCCCAGTAAATGACAGGGTCGGTAACTCAGGGGCGTCGTCAGCTATCACAACAAGGGCTGCACCATTGTCTACCTATAGGCAGCGTACTGCGGAGATGGTAGTATCCAGCGAGACCACAGTCCCAGTAAATGACAGGGTCGGTAACTCAGGGGCGTCGTCAGCTATCACAACAAGGACCGTACTATTGTCTACCTATAAGCAGCGTACTGCGGAGATGGTAGTATCCAGCGAGACCACAGTCCCAGTAAATGACAGGGTCGGTAACTCAGGGGCGTCGTCAGCTATCACAACAAGGACCGTACTATTGTCTGCCTATAAGCAGCGTACTGCGGAGATGGTAGTATCCAGCGAGACCACAGTCCCAGTAAATGACAGGGTCGGTAACTCAGGGGCGTCGTCAGCTATCACAACAAGGACCGCACTATTGTCTGCCTATAAGCAGCGTACTGCGGAGATGGTAGTATCCAGCGAGACCACAGTCCCAGTAAATGACAGGGTCGGTAACTCAGGGGCGTCGTCAGCTATCACAACAAGGACCGTACTATTGTCTACCTATAAGCAGCGTACTGCGGAGATGGTAGTATCCAACGAGTCCACAGTCCCAGTAAATGACAGGGTTGGTAACTCAGGGGCGTCGTCAGCTATCACAACAAGGACCGTACTATTGTCTACCTATAAGCAGCGTACTGCGGAGATGGTAGTATCCAACGAGTCCACAGTCCCAGTAAATGACAGGGTCGGTAACTCAGGGGCGTCGTCAGCTATCACAACAAGGACCGTACTATTGTCTGCCTATAAGCAGATTACTGCGGAGATGGTAGTATCCAGCGAGACCACAGTCCCAGTAAATGACAGGGTCAGTAACTCAGGGGCGTCGTCAGCTATCACAACAAGGACCGTACTATTGTCTACCTATAAGCAGCGTACTGCGGAGATGGTAGTATCCAGCGAGACCACAGTCCCAGTAAATGACAGGGTCGGTAACTCAGGGGCGTCGTCAGCTATCACAACAAGGACCGTACTATTGTCTACCTATAAGCAGCGTACTGCGGAGATGGTAGTATCCAGCGAGACCACAGTCCCAGTAAATGACAGGGTCGGTAACTCAGGGGCGTCGTCAGCTATCACAACAAGGGCTGCACCATTGTCTACCTATAAGCAGCGTACTGCGGAGATGGTAGTATCCAGCGAGACCACAGTCCCAGTAAATGACAGGGTCGGTAACTCAGGGGCGTCGTCAGCTATCACAACAAGGACCGCACTATTGTCTGCCTATAAGCAGCGTACTGCGGAGATGGTAGTATCCAGCGAGACCACAGTCCCAGTAAATGACAGGGTCGGTAACTCAGGGGCGTCGTCAGCTATCACAACAAGGACTGCACCATTGTCTACCTATAAGCAGCGTACTGCGGAGATGGTAGTATCCAGCGAGACCACAGTCCCAGTAAATGACAGGGTCGGTAACTCAGGGGCTTCGTCAGCTATCACAACAAGGACCGTACTATTGTCTGCCTATAAGCAGCGTACTGCGGAGATGGTAGTATCCAGCGAGACCACAGTCCCAGTAAATGACAGGGTCGGTAACTCAGGGGCGTCGTCAGCTATCACAACAAGGACCGTACTATTGTCTGCCTATAAGCAGCGTACTGCGGAGATGGTAGTATCCAGCGAGACCACAGTCCCAGTAAATGACAGGGTCGGTAACTCAGGGGCGTCGTCAGCTATCACAACAAGGACTGCACCATTGTCTACCTATAAGCAGCGTACTGCGGAGATGGTAGTATCCAGCGAGACCACAGTCCCAGTTAAACTCAGGGTAACTCAGGGGCGTCGTCAGCTATCACAACAAGGACCGCACTATTGTCTGCCTATAAGCAGCGTACTGCGGAGATGGTAGTATCCAGCGAGACCTCAGTCCCAGTAAATGACAGGGTCGGTAACTCAGGGGCGTCGTCAGCTATCACAACAAGGACCGCACTATTGTCTGCCTATAAGCAGCGTACTGCGGAGATGGTAGTATCCAACGAGTCCACAGTCCCAGTAAATGACTGGGTCGGTAACTCAGGGGCGTCGTCAGCTATCACAACAAGGACCGCACTATTGTCTGCCTATAAGCAGCGTACTGCGGAGATGTAGCGATTATACGCTCCCCAGCAGTCGCTGTTTGTGTTCCACGCACAATTACGCAGTAAGACAATGCTACGCTTGATTGACGGCTTTGTAAGCGATCGCTTTATCCATTTTTAACGTGTCACAGTGTTAACAATGCACGCTAAGCTCCCCTCGGATAAACGCTTTTTGTTCCGTCCCGATCGTCGGAAGGGAGTTTCAAGAGTTTCTGTTTTGCGCTCTCGTCAAGACGGATGTATGAACAGAGAGCTTTAAATATTCAAAATGTCTTCTTAGTGAACACCGGTTTCCCCATTTTGTTCGTTCCATTCCCCTGATTGTTACTTAACGAAGGTCTTCCCTGCATGTAACAATTTTATGATTCGGTATTTTAAGCTTACAATGTATCACCTACACTTTATTCAGTTTGTATCTAATATATGCCTAATTCCTACAACCATTTTTAAATAGTACAACTAAGAGCACACAATTGCATAGAAAAATGTTGCATATTAATTTTGTCAAACTGATAGCAACATACTGTACCTCGTCTGTAGAGTATTAAAGTTTAGGAATTTTGAGAGTTATTTATTAGCTATAAGGTTTATACGACGTTTGGGGAATTTTCCTATATACTTAATTAAGTCTGTAATTTTGAGTTGTGGATCATTCTGTCATTTGACAGCAATTAAAAATTTCTGATAAGAATAATTTCTTTCGCAGGTCAAAATATGGTTTCAGAACCATAGGTACAAGTGCAAAAGACAAGCGAAAGAGAAAGCAATGGCAGAGCAAAATGCTCAAAATCAGGTAAGTTTTATGTATAAGTACCCTAGTTATATTATGTTAAAGATAATTTTATTGCAGCTACAATCGAACTAGGATTTGCTTTGTGGCGTTGTGAATGTTGTATCAGTCACATGCCATTATTGCATATACATGTGTAGTAGTGAGCGCCCGAGAGATAAATTAAGCCGAGTTATTCGCAATCCAGAAGTAATGCGTGAGTTGTATTGACCATTGAGTTCGTGTTTTGGTATTTCTTTAATCCTCAAGTAAATCTGTTTGAATTAAATTATACTGTGTTAACAAAATTATTCAAATTATTCTACACTAATGATCTTTATACCATATATCGACAACACACAACATTTATGCCGTGGTTTCTGTATAATATCCCTTCTTGAGGTTTCATTACAAAGAGAGTGATGCTATAAAATGTTTGCAAATTTTGTGCACTTAAATTATATTAATCAGGTAGTTTGTAGATTAAATCAAATCGACCTTTTGATGAGAAATGTAAAGGGTTCTATGCAAATGTAAAAAATTCAAAGGTCAATTACATTCTTTATAAGGTGTTTACGAAGGTCCTTTACATAGTCCATACATTGTTACGAGAATACCAACTTCTAATAAGATGCAACAAATCAAGTTGATCTAGTTGGGGGGAATCTTTTACCCCCACTAGTCTCATGAACGTCCCAAGACAACCAAATCGCCACTATCATTAGAGCAGATTATAGGGCCAGTTTGACAGGGTTGTAAAACACCTAAATTGCCACTCGTGTTCCTCCAGTACCAAGGGAATTTTCTCCCTCCAGTTTCCCACTTTGAGATAAGATGGACTAAGAGAAGTTAATACTGTAATCATATAGGTATAATACCGTAGATAAAACATACTCCCTTAGTAGATTTGTCATCCTTGTGGAACAGCTGAAGCCAATTTTATTGTTAGTTCTGTACGTCCAACTGTAGAGGTTATGATTTGTTTACAATTTGTTTTATTTCAGTCATTTAAAACCTCATTTAACACAACTAGCTGTCACCCACGGGATTCACCCCGTTTGACTTCATAAGTATAGATTGGTTAAGTTAAGCTGAAATAAACAAAACAGAATACAGTAATACAAACAAATACAAATCACTTTTAATTGACTACTCGATTCCCGTACGTCGGCAACAGCTCGTTAAGTTTTAATTTCCATCTGTTTACAAATTAGTGTTGGTGTCTAAAATTGCAGGATGCTATGCCTATTGTGGCATTTCATTCTGAGTCAAGGTCGTGCAACAACAAAGCTTAGGTGATGCATAATACGAATACTAGAAAAATACATATATTACATTAATATTATACATTAATAATTTATTTACATTAATATCAATTATTACATATACATTAATAATTTATTCTGTCATGAAATACGGAAAATTTATTGGTATGAATTAAAACCAATACTGGTTTAACTGTGGCAGAAATGGGAAAACAAATATTCTTTTGACTTATGTACATGTGGTCCTGTCCTAAAACTACCTACAGTTTGTTGCTCACACTAACCTTGAATCAGAGTTAATTTTCCTACTACTGGATATTGAAGATTTAAATAATAAAATAAACTATTACCTTGTTCAATATCCTTTTTTTCTCGCGACAACCGGTTTCGTGTGACACCAGTCACATTCACTTCAGTCACTTCTGTAAATATTATTAAAATACCCCCGCCGCAGCAAACCTGCCGACTAAGCGAATTTCCATTTGTCTGAATTGATTTTCAGTTAAATATATTTTAATAACATTAGGTTTAACGAGTACCTAGGTTTTCTGCTACAAGGAAACTAATAAAGTGTGTTTTTGAGTAAAATATTGATAGCTTAGTACAAAATAAATAAATTTGCCAAGTTTGATCAAAATATATTCATAAACAAGCAAACTACAACATTTGACAATATTCTCCATAAGAATAACATGGGAATTTTAAATTTACAATTTTTTTAATTTTCTCCGTTACCAATATTCGAACAAAAATACTTTTATATACTAAATTATTTGTTTTTTTTAAGCTCTTTAAAAAGGTCTAAAGAGAAATTGGGAAATTTTGTGTTTTGAGGGTCAAAATTGAGAAAACCCAATTTTTACCCCATAAAACCCCCCGTAAAGCCCCGTTCCCATGGTCCGATCGTGCTAATTCGCGAACTCATTCAAGTTTATCCCGCTTTACACGTTTAAACCAAATTTCATCAAAATCGGACAAAAATTACTCAAGTTATCGCGTTCACGGACGTATATATATATAAGTCTATATATTATTTTCTTGCATTTTTAGGGCTACTAATATAATAAAATTAAAACATATATAACAAAGTACCCTTTTAGTAATTATTTTATTTTTCATGACGACATGTTTCGGAACTAAGTCCATTGTCAAGTCATTTTTACCATAACCTCATTCTTTAAACTAACAAAATTAAAAATATAATCATATGTAAAAATAATAAAATATGTTAACTAAATCTTAATACATTTTGGTATTAATTTTTTTCATTATACTATATGAATATACTATATATACGTTATACATATATAAAAATTTGAACGAATAGTGTTTTTGGCCTCTGGGGACATCAAAATGAAAAAGTAAATCGGTCCCGGGTCTAGGTCTTACCGTGCCACCTACGGTAATAGCATAGATTAAACATACTCCCCAAGGAGTATGGGGAGTACTCCCTTGGGGAGTATGTTTAATCTATGGTAATAGCTACTTCCCTATAGGGAAATTCGCTAAAACCAAACAATATTGTAAACATTTTTGTATGGAACTAATATGATGTAATTTGTAAATATTTTGGCGGAATAAATGCTATTTTGATTTGATTTGATTTGACATCATCAGGTCACTCCTCGTATTACGATTCGTTATTATATACATTACGTTTTTACCGAACACAAAACAAAAACACATTATATTTACAAAACATTTACAAACAAAAACCATCGCGTCCGTCGCTAACCTTGAATCTTAAAACTTGACTCTTGCACTTTATCTCAAATTGGGAAACTGGAGGGAGAAATACGTCTAAATCTCCCCCATAACCTGACGGAACCCCAGTGACGATGAGTTTTACAACTCTGCGAAACTTACACATTATCCTCTCAACTCTAATGATGGGGTCGGCTTAGGTATCTTGGGACGTTGTATCTTGGGTTGTTGGGGGTTGTCATAACTCGTGGTGGTATGAAAACAGCCCTATCATTGGATATATTGGATTATAGTTGGACGTATGACAAATACTTGCCATGGTAAGTGACAAACATTCGGTGACAATTTTAGATTACAATAATGTGTTAATTTTAATCTATGACCAGGTAACGGGATGTATATTTGTCATATTGAATGTGTGTGAATGTGTGTGTGTTGCAGGCCCAGAGCTCGCCGCGCAGAGTGGCAGTTCCTGTGTTGGTGAAGGACGGCAAGCCGTGCTCCGGGGGCTCCGACCCTCCCATGTCCCGTGGTCAGTGCGGCGCCAACCCTCACCAGGGTCCTCCTCAGCACCCCTCGGCGCAGAGCAATCCTCCGGGACTGATGGCCTACCAGAGACACGCCACCTCGCTGCCTCACGGCCATCAGCACCAACAGTCCAACATGTGCGCATCATACCTACCGCTGCAGACGCGCGCCTGGTAGTGCGACGCTCTACCCGCGGTCGCCGACGCCGAGTACCTCCACTTGTTCCGTAGTCCGGCGACCGACGGGTCTGGGGACCTCTCTCCCTCGGGCGACCTCCTCTAGGAGATACCGCACAGTCACAAGAGTCTGACAAGCTAACATGAAATGTACATTTGTTTTAAAGTGAACGCACACTGTGCGGTGTCTAACCTCGGTATATACTCGCCCTCTTCTGTACCGCCATCTCGACGCTAGTCAAGGCTCGTTTGTACTTACCTACATTGTATATAGCCACGGATTTTTGCAATAACGAGGACTCGATCTCGAATGACCAGTTTTGTAAATGTGTTAATGTGTTGTTTATAGTGCGTAAGTGTGATACGTTTGTATATGTTTCCATGTTGTACATACTAAGTTATAACCACCGTTATATACATAACTTATACGGTATATAAATATAGATGCCCATTTTTCTGTTGTAAATACACGACTTATAGAGTTTAAAAATTGTGTTTCTATAATAACCTTGGTTCTGAAACAATAAGTAGTAGAACGAACGGTAATGCGTCATCGATTCGAATTGAGGCGAGCTTTAACCCATATTTTTGGTTGGAACAATGACTAACATTTTCCACGTTCGTTATACTCCCTGATTAAGAGACCACTGTACTACATGACCTCTGAAGATTGATTGCAAAGTAAGTGTTGATCGGACCGCCGACAGTTCTATAACGATCGCATTGCCGCATTATCTCAGAAAACCAGTTTACTTCCATCTCAGGCAAGTCGTTATTTCGTAGTAATTAATTCTGCTCATTAGCGGAGTTTGAGTTTTGGCGTTGTCAAACTATACAGTCGTTAATTAGTGAAAGCGCCGAACCGTAGCGGGCGGCATCTTGCTCCCACCCTCTCTAGTCTCTACCTCCCCCGGCTCGGTGCTCGGTGCTTGTCAATGAGACACCAATCATTTCCACTGTTAGCTGTTTTAGCTCTAATCAATTCCTACGTCTTGATATAAAAAGATTCCCTCGAGATGTTTGAATTAGTTTCCTTTACGCGAATATAACGAACAATTCTGTCCGTTGATGTAGGAGTTTTGATTCACTTTTAAATATATTTAGCTCCTTCCCTTGTATTTCGAGGTGAGTTTTAGCGAATTTCCCATATAGGAAATAAGCTATTACCCGGGACCGATTTACTTTTTTGTTTTGAGGTCCCTAGAGGCCAAAAACACCATTCGTTCAAATTCTAAAGTTTGATTTATTCCCGTTATCGCGATAACTCAAGCAAAAATTATCCGATTTTGATGAAATTTTGTACAAACGTGTAAACCTACATTCATTCGAACGAGTTCGCGAACCAGCATGATCGGACTATGGGAAAGGGTGTTTATGGGGGGTTTTATGGGGCGAAAATTTGTTTTTCCCATTTTTTACCTTAAAAACCAACTAATTGTAAATTTAAAATTCCCATGATATTCTTATGGAGAAGAAGTAATTAGTTTGTTTATGAACATATTTTGATCAAATTTGGAAATGCATTTATTTATTACTAAACTATTAAGATTTACAAAAAAAAAAAAACAATTTTTACCCTTGCTGTTGCAACAAACCTAAGTACTCCTTAAACTAATTCTATTTAAATAGGGAATAAATGTGATATTTTTAAGGATATATTTTAATGTAAATCCAATCAGGCAAATGGAAATTTGCTTAGTCTGCAGGTTTGCTGCGGCGGGGGTATTTGATATTATTTGCATGTTTGAAAATGACATAACAAACCTCGTCGACATAATTTCTTAATCAAATAGACAGATTTTAACAGATTTTTGGATAGAATTTTGTGGAAAAATACCAAGAACAACTCAAATTGAGTCTTTGGATTCCTTCTGTAAACCTCTTCTTTTGCACTTCCCCACAAAATGAAACCTTGCCTGAAGGCTGCGAAAAGTCTGGCTACGCGACGCGCAACAGTGATGCAGACCACCTCGTCCAGTCATAGGCCGGTTTCACACGAGCCACAAACGTGCCACAATCGCCGGCAGAAACGCGCCACTAGCGGCGCTCAATCGCGTGGGACCTTTCAGATGGCAAAAGCATGATTCCGCGATTTCTATCAGTTTATCGCCATTTCATACCGCACCTCCTTGAACTACACCAGAACACAAGTCCGCTTGGAAAGACTACGAGTGCAGTTCAGTCAACAGTGCTACAATGGACGATGAAGAAGGCTTATTTTTTATAATGCTTCTTCGTGCGGTACGACGACGTAGATTAATTATTATTTGAGTAATATTACATTCTTGGTCCCACAACACTGGTCTACACTCTACTTCTACGATAAAACGGTCCGTGTCAAAGTTACACATAACTTGATGTTATAAAAGTCAAAAGAAATTTCAGTACAAAACAGGGTGACTGGTTATTTTAACTATCTCAGTGGCAATAACCAGCCACAAACGCCAAAATTGTCGAGAACAGAGCCACTGCAGGCGATTGCAGCGCGTTCTAGCGTCAAACGCAAAAAGACGCCACTTCGTGTGAAAGGCACGCCGCGCTCCAATGTTAAGTGAATGGCTATCCTTTTTTGCGTCAGCCAGCGATTCTCGCGCCACAAGCGCGCCACAACGGTCAGAAGCGGCGTTCCGCGATTGTCGGGCGTTTTGTGGCTCGTGTGAAACCGGCCATAAGGTTACATTGAGCCAATCTCGAACAATATTGTTGCATATTTCACTCTGCCACGTTTACATGTTTGAAACATGGAAATTGGAAATAAACTAGAAGAATAATATTTATTTAGTTAAATTGTAAGTAACTTGACAAATTGTTGATTCATTGTCTTGGTGTAGCTTGTTGGTAGGAGTAAGTAAACGAGTTTTCCAACACAATACATCGGAACCTCGTTCGCACGGTTTTTTTTTATTAATTCGAACTGCTTATCATGTGTTTGATTAACTTAATATAATTTGCACTTCCTTTGACCTTTTTTACATTTAGGTAAATTTAGTAATTGTGTTATGCTACACCTATGCTTAAATTAAACTAAGGAATTTCACAAATAACTAAATTGTACGCCGTTGATTTTTGTGTTCTAAAATCTGTGGTATCTGTGTAACTATATTTAATTATAAAATGGTAATACAAATACAAAATACTCTCGTTTTATCTTAACATAGCTTGCAGTTCGCAGTTATTACTATATTGCATTTCGAAGAATTTATTTTGTGTTTTGTTACACCTGATTAAATTAAACCAAGGAAAATATCATAAAGCTAAGCTGTGCACAGTGTTCTTTTGTTTCTAAAATTAATTCACATCTGTTACTATGTTTACGTAAGTATCAACGGTAAGTGTGATTTACTACTTTTTATAGTATAGATATTTTCTTTAATATTTCAAAATACTTTTTATTCATTAGGCACAAACAGTATTTCTTAAGTTTACAACAGATGATGTTAGTGTTGCTAATGATTTATTGTGAGTGAAGATGGAATGAATTATGATTTAATTTTAAAAAGATTGGCCTAAAAAGGTTTATTTAAATTTAATAATTAAGTATTATATTTAGGTTTTCTATTAGAAGTTGTGAAACTTAAAGATTGAAATTTAAAATGTCAAAAATGCAGGATAAATATATGTAAATAAGGGAGATGGAGGTAAAGCATGTATGTGAAAATGTTATTCGAAAATGTGGTAGGTTTTTCTCATATCAGCCTACACAAGATGTAAAATGTATCAAAACCAAAATGGCAGTTTCCACTACTTACAAGATGTAATTCTCACCGCCACACAGATTTAAAAGCCATAAGAGTTTCTCTAAAGGCCAAAAAGGTTGAATTTTGTTTCTAAAAGCGTTGGCGGATGTGTAACTATTTTATACAACAAATGTAAAGATCAAAATGTTTCTATTTCGCGTATTTTCCCGATGCAAAGCACGGGTGCAACAGTTAGTTTATATATACACTTATAGTGTCTGTGAACTATTAAAAGACAAAATATTGTATAACATCATCTATATGATACGCCAACACGAAATTTGTCCGTTGAACTCCTCCGCCATTTTATTAACGGATTTTAGCCATACACGTCTCATCGGAAAGAGCGTGTCGCACACATTTGCGAACTGACCTTGAGTTTTTGAGAAAAAATCCCTTGGCCTCTGCCCTAGTGGCTTTTAAAGTTCCCATGATATCTTTATGAAGAACACATTTGTTAACATTATGATCAGCTAGATAATTTAATTGCTGTTAATATTTACTAGGGGTCTATAGCAGCAATTGCTGCCCTTCACCTCTGTTTTAATTTGGCCATAACCATTTCCTATGCTGTGCACCATTCCTTTGCAGTCGCTGTCTTCCCCTTACATGATACATTCCAACACTGCATTACCATTCTAACCTATAAACAGAACACTAAAATCAATAAACAAACTCACAATGTTTACATCAGCTGGTATATTTATGACAGCTTATACTGTAGAAACACTGTAGCGGTACTTTTCTAATTACTGGATCTTTGACGGTCTGTGGGACAGAGCAGGGGTGATTTTGACACTTTTGATATTTTTCCCACCGTCCTTGGACCTTAAGCTTTAAAACGAATCCTAAAGGGCCATGCTACCTCTTTCCTAGCTCAAGATATTTTGTCGAGACCGATTCGCTGATGGAGTTAAATATATAGATTTTGCGATTCAAGGAAATCTAATAAAGTTTTACATGGTTTTACTGATTTGTATGAAATGAAATATCAACTATTTAAATTTGGGTTTACGTACATATTACAATGGAAAAATACGATAAAACCTGGATAATTTGATATATTTCACCAAATTAGAAAAAGAAATTACATAGTACTGTATTTCTTGAGCAATTATTAAAGAACATATTTGTAAACTATGGAAACATAGGAAAGTCATAGAACCAAGTATAAGAAATAGAGAATAGACAATGTTTTTTTTTAAATATATAAATCATTATTAGCCAATAATGATGAAGCACACCTACAAGATGAAGATTCCTACAGACGAACGAGGATGTTAGTCCTAACATTTTTAGTAGGAAACATGGACTTAGCTTTGTGATAATTTCAGAGAAAACACTAAAAAAATAATCTGTTTTAAAAATGATCAAATATTTACAGGAATTGTTGGTTATATTAAACTGGTATGGGCATCGAGAGTAGTTTCATTAGGCACATAATCTTTGTGTTGACTTTTTTATCATCGGAAATAATGACTGTTATTTGTTTTTTAATAACTCATGTCATACTTTTTCAATTGCTAGAATTTGAGCAACATGTACACTAGTTCATTATATATTTAACGTCTAGAGAAGGTTTATATTATAAGTTTAAGTATCGATGATTTTAGTCTAGGTTCAAAGAGCCGTACGAAACGTTGCGAAAGATGTGGTACAATAGTATGATATGGACACCATGCAAAGCTCAGCCCTCTTGTTTTATTTATTTAAATTTTATTAACTAAACTA